TCCCTCCCCCCCCCCCCCCCCCATGAAAATACCCTTCTATTTAGTAAAACAATAATATTTGGTTTAATTTATTAAAAAATAGCATCCTACTCCAAAACAGATAATTTTAGGATAAATAAGAGGGTTGAGTCAAGGAGGTTGCCTCTGCCCCATAGTCTGTAACGGAGATTTAAATTTATAGTAGAAACTATATGAATTACAATGTGCATTAAACTTCTTAAAAGTGTCTCAAACTTTATTTTTGCCTTAAGTTACTTCATTTGTAATTTTTGTAGCTACTGCTTGTGAGTAGAAACTTTAAGATCAAACCAAACTTCAAATGGCATGAACTAATGTGAGTTCAGTCAATTAAACTACTGAGCAAATTAATAAATGTGACCATTCATTGTTATTTCTATCAAAGTAAACTTCAAATACTCTGAATTCTGTCTGTAGGAAACTTAGCTTATTTGATTTTTTTTTAACATGCCTTGTAACTTAAATGTTTTTGGTAGTTCCAAATATGTTGTAAGAGAGTGTACAGAATCCGTGGAAAATGTGAATAAATGTATGGGAGATGCAATAATATTGTATGCTTGGACTTTATGCACAGTTTCTTGATTTTGACTGTAGAGTGGTGTGCATTAGGTTGATGGCAAGACTGACTTCTGGAAAGCCAAACTCAGCTCTCAGATAAAAAGGGATTATTTGAATAACTTCGGGGAATTTTGCCTATCTGCAGCAAGTATACATTTTTTTTTTTTTTTTAATACAGAACAAAGGTGGAATTTTCCATTGTCACTTCACTCAAAAGCCAGGAGCATGGTATTTGTAGTTGTAAACCCAGATTTAGTAAGGCAGGGGCCTCTTTTCTTTACTGATTTAAATAAAAAAAAATACAGTACTACTTCCAAAAACAGTTTACGGGAAACATGAGTGCAGTCAAGACACGTGGAAGTGTTCTATTGTTCTTGTTCTGGTTGTCCAATTCAAAACTATTTTTCTCCTCCTTTTTTTCTTTGAGAGTTCACAGTATTCTTTTCAAAAATACATTTAGTTTCTTTGCACCCTTCAGCAGCACTCACCTCTCCAAACAGGTTATCTTAGTGTTTCTATAGCAAAGGACAGAGCAAATCTACAGCCCCTCTCTTGACTGCTTCTCATCTCAAGATGGAATTCCTTCTTGTTTTAGAAAACCATAGGAAACTTAATCCTTTAATTTTTAGTTTTACAAGTTAGGTCAGAACTTTTTTTTTTCTTGCTCCTAGCAATTTATTAGTTTCTCCTCCAAAGTATCCCTTACAGCTAAAATAGCTACTTCAAGGTCTAGATCAAATGTTCTCACTGTGAGAGCATGACTGAACTGTAAAGCTTCATGCATCAAGGCAAGCATGAGGTCCAGAGAATGGTGAAAATAACTACCAAAGAGCATTTTAAATCCCAGGAAAATGCTGTCAAGTAGTTCTCTAACTTCAACTTCAAACCTGAAAAACTGGAGCAAGGCTGCCTCAATATCCAGAACAAATCAGCTGATCTGGCCCTCAATCTGATAGCACAGCTAAGTTTTCTACCCTTAGAGACCTCCAGTGTTAAAATTAAGACTAGAAAAAACTGTCCAAAGTAGGAGGAGCTTGAAGAATAAATTTTTCAACAGCTCAGATGGGACACATACATTTACTGAGGCTACATTTGTAAATGTAGACCCAAGTAACTTCCTCAGGAAGCTCCCAGGAATCACAGTGCAACATCAAAATGTCAGATGAAAGAATTGACTTGGGACTGCAGAAGTCATCTATCTTTTCCTGGAGTCTGGCTCCATCAGTCACTGCCTTGACAGTATCAGTGATTTGTCTGAGTTCCAGCATTCTTTCCCTTGGTTCTGACCACTACTAGCTAGAGCACTGAGGTGCTTTGTACAGCAGGGAGGTGAATTGGTACTTCATCTCACTAACAGTGAGACTTTAGCACAGCTGCTGTGCTGTTCTCTTGCTACCTCCCCTAGATAGTGTGCTCACCGATGAGTCTCTGAAGGTATCCTATATTTAGAATTCACAGACTTTTGCAGTGCTAAAGTTTGTTCTGGAAAAGCACAGTATACCTAGTGGGGAGGGAGATATCCCAGTATCAGTCCTGGAGTTAAAAGAAATCCATCCTTTGGGCCATGTTTTCCTGCTCTCTTGGCTTCAGGGGCATTTTCCTTCAATTAGTTGTGACTTTCTAGACCAATGTCTCCTCATCAACCATCCTCAAAAGCTGCAGTAAAAAAAAGACCAGACTCAAGTCTTTTCCATCTCATGGCTGTATGGTTCTTGAATAAGAATATATGTATTTTTAAATTGTGTGAAACTTCCAACAGCAGGAAAAATCCAAAACCTGTCTGTTGCAATGTAAAGCCTCACATAAAACAACAGTTCCTGTTGTTCTTGGTTCCTTTCTGGGATGAAACAAGTAAACTGTCCTGAAGTTTAGCGTGGGTATGTCTAATAACCACCTCAACTTGGTACATTCATACTGGACAAACTGTAATCGTAATCTACTATGCTTAGATTCTTGAAAGGCCTGAACAATACAAAATCTGATCCTGCCATAAGATCATAGTATAGTTCTTGCAGCTTTCTAGGTCTGCCATTTGAATTGATAGCATCTACATCTGCATCTGTCAGTAAAAATGCCGCTTCTGACTTATATAATTGCAAGAGCTGGAGAGATTCAGGAGCTAAGTGGACCCTGTTTCACAGACATACCTCCTCCCAGCAGTCATCTTGAAGCTTCACTTAAATCAACACGTCACCTTCTGATAGTTTACCCAATGCTGCCTCTTTTCAGGGTAGCCATCACTTGGAAATGAGAACAACAAAAAGCCTCTGGCTTTTTCTGGTCACAGAAAAGAAGATGAAAGGCATCGTGATTTCCAGTTAAAGCCTTTCCAAACAGATTTCTTACTGTGGATAATAAGATAGCCAAGGTGGATTCTCCTACAATGAAGAGGGTACACTTTACCAAAGGTCAGATAACACCACTGAATCTTGTCCAACTTAATTATTCCACATTTTTTTAAAATATCCAACTAGTGCAAATTATTGCTGATATCTTACATAGAGCATTATAAAGGCCTCATCAACCAGCAGTTCATCACCACCAGTATCAAAAGGAATTATACATAAGATGCGCGCACTCCAACAGCTAACATACAAAGATGTTAAATGGAATCCAGATGGTCTGTAGATCATGCAGCAGAGCCTAGCTGTTGTAAGATGAAGGACTTTCTTGTAGTGGGATATGTTGTTGCTAGTTGACAACTTAAACATTTTTAAGCTCTCTCAGGCTAAGGCTATTTTTCATCAGTTCCTTCAATTTAGGTCACCTAGGACCACTGTAACTGATTCTGACTGCTTGTTGCTTAACAAATTCCAACCCCCTCTTTTTTTTTCAGAAGCAGGAATACCAGCATTCCAGCTAAACATCAAGATGGATAATTTAACCTAGTAGCTAATTTCCACAAACAATTAATTGGACCAATGAGTTGCTGAATCCCTTCCCCCCTCAAACATACACAACATAGATGCTGTATTCTATTTAACTGGAGCCTTCATTTCTTGTCAAACCTCTATTGAAGATTCTGAGATTCCTCACAATGCAGTAGCTACTAAGCTTTTGATATGTATTTAAAATCTAACTATTTGATTTCAAGTGCTTGTTTTAAATGACAACTTTCAGTCTTCATTTTAAATTTTACATCGGACCCAAGACCCATTCTGACTACTAAAAACACAAGCATCATAAATTAACAGAAAGCTAGGTAATTTCATTTTACTAATCCTGCACAAAAGACCCATATAGAAATTTTCAAAAGAAGAGTAGTTCCAGCTACTGGTGTTTTCAGTTTTCTAGTACTAGCCAGACATAACAAAAAGGCTTAAAGGTGCTTCCCACCTCCTGCTCTTTACTAGGTTAATTACTATTTTACTTGTGTACCACATGCACCTTTTCCCCCCAAAATCAGCCTTCCAAAATTAAGGTGCATGTTTTAAGCAGAGAACCTGATTTTTCTTTGCTGGAATAGAAACATGGAGGACTAGAGCATTCAGACACTGCTGCAAAATTACTACAGAGTTCACCCTTCATCTGAACTATAATGTTAATCCTCTATCAACCATAGCAGCTGCATTCAGACATGACTGGAAAAATATTTTCTTTTTTTCATTTTGCCTTCCCAAAACAAGATACTTGTCTTATTCAGGAGGGTCTGTGAGCAAAGTGTTGTACATAATTGAAAATAAGACACCTTTACAACAGTTGCATTGTATCTTTCTGTTCTCTTACTCCCCTCTGCCACACAATGAAGTATGTCTGTAGTGAGTATCCCAAAGATCATTTAAGTGCAATTATAGAAGTGGCTTTTGCTCAAAGTTTAATGAAGCTGAACAGTAAATAAAATAGTCTTAAAATAATGTTCTGCCAGAAAATTGGCAGTTTTCCAGCCAAGTTTTAACTTGTTTAATAAGGACTTGTAATCTTGCAATGACAGATTCCAACAAAGGACAGTACAAAAAATACTATTAACAACATTTATGGTCATTGAAGAGGTCTGTTTATTGGCTGCAGGGTCCAAAGCTTCCTTCACTGCTGCCATATGTGAAATTAGTTTTGGTTTTGGTGCACACAGATTCTTGTTGCTGTTTGTTCAAAGGGCTCAGTTAGTGTCAGCATGATTTTTAGTTGACCATCTGTTACTGTTGATGATCAATGAGGCAAAAACCATGCAACAAGTGCTAGTTGGATAAAATTAATCTGAGACTATTTATATATTTACAGAAGAAATGTTGAACATTGTGACCAGTTTGGAGTCTTGTGTTATCCTGATTGAGTGCCCATACAGTTACATTCTGATGTGAAATATTCTCTTGTTTAAGATTTGGTGTACAGAAGACTTATTCATTAAACACTTCCATTAACTGTACCTACTTTCAACAACCTTTCAATACACTATTTCTACACACCATTATGCACCTTTGTTCAGTCATATGTAATAATAGGATATAAAATAAGAAACAAGGTACAGCAGTCTCAGACACCTTAAAGGACTGTGATCACAAGGAATATATTTTCCAATGCTTTTAGTCATAGCTGGAGGCCATGAGGATGGCTTTATAATGAGTCCAGAGGAAATATATGGCTTGGCCAAAGTTGCTGGCTCCTGCCACATACAGGTAGAATTTTCAAGAGTACCTTTTTCTGGTTTTTGAAAGATGCTCTTAACTCCCATTGATTGGAGGCACTTCTGAAAATTTTCCCTACAGCTATTTGTAACAAAGGGAGGTTTTAGACATGAAAAGCAAGCATGATTAGATCAATTCAGCTGATTCTTGGAAAGTAGTATCATGAGGGACATCAATGGACTCCTGTAGAACCTCAGTGAAACCATAGGATTCTGTTAACATGGACCCAGTGGTGGGGTTTAGGCCTTAACTGGCTGTCTGAACAAAATGATGGTAACAAGGAGAAATTCTGGGGAAGGACTCTGAATGCCCTTACAACTCTCAAAGTAAATGTATAGATTCCTTTTTTTAGAAAAGGGCATTGCCTCCACAAATGGAAAGGTATGGATGATAGATAGCACAATACAGCTCACATCACAGACATACACATCTTGAAGCTCACATGGTTTTGTTACAGTACTTCAAGCCACATTTATCATAGTGAGGAAGGTGAAATGACTTGACTGTTCTGAATGGAAGATATGCAAACCCAAGTGGGTTGAGGTGGTTTTGACTCAGCCTCTACAAATCAAGTTTTCCCTTAAGTCTGAATTAATCAAAAAGAGGTAATATGAACCCACACAGTCGGCATGAACCAAAACTGCTGAATATTTTTACATTTCTAAGAACGGTCTCCATCCTGTGGCGGCTAGGGGGGAAATTGTTAAGGACTTTGAATGGGATTTTACATACACAGTGGTCTCTAAGGCACAGCAATGACCTGCTAATATTACATAATTGACGTAGGAGAATGCCATTAATGTTATCGTGATGAGTAGTAAGTTTCTGTTAAGGGTCTGTTTAGTTTGGAAAGATTCTTACACACTTGCCTTTGACATCATCTAAATACATATCCAGAGGATGATCCAAATGGCAAATTGCAGATCTGGATGACATGGTTGTGCGCAAAAGAGAAGATCATTAGACAATCGGAAAAAACAAGTATGATAAGGTGGCATTCACTGATCAACTGACCTATGCAGCAAAGCTTTCTAGACTTACGTTTATCATACAGCTGCTTTATATATAAAGGATCTTCACTCTAACAGTCCAGCATCAGTATGCCCAATTAAAATTGTTGGTGTTCCAATACTTAAGACAGTGTCACTTGTAAACTAAGACATCATAGACTCTGGTAGTCTATACAGTATACTTGCTTACTGGATAACAATTAACACTCAATCCATTCCCTGGCACCATTGGTTGGTTTGTTCTTTGATTGCCAGTAGTGGCACAAACCTGTTGGTTTAATGCTTTGGAGCTACAGGTTTCCCTCGATTTATGTGGTACATGCGTTCCCAGAGAATGGTGCATAAATCAAATTCACATAAAGTGAAGCCACTTGATAATGTAACAAGAAGGGATAGGTTCCCATGGTGGGAAGGGAAGGAGGGAGTGAGGCTGGGACTAGGGAAGGGGTGGGGTGCCACTCCCAGGGCTGCACAAGGGAACAAAGCAGAGGGAACTGTCAGTGGGTGCAGGGTGGGGGGGCGTGATTCTTGCTGCAGCAGGGGTAGGGTTAATTGGAACAACGTGGAGCCCCGGGTGGCACAACAGCAGGCTGCTGCTACTGACTGGGGCCAGCAGTGGCACGGGGGTCTTCCCAGCGTTCAGGGTGGGCTGTGCCAAGTGTCAGGAACAGCCCAGTGCTGCCACCAGCTGCAGCCTGCAGTGGCATCCTACTGTCATCCCACAAGCAGATCTGCGGGTATGCACCCCTCAGGAAGAGCCCAGCACATCCCTCCAGTCGCTGCAGCACGGGTTGGCATGAATGCTGCACCCTGGGCCACCCGGGACTCTGCTTCTTCCCACTCACCCCTGCTGCAGTGGGCCCAGGAGCAGCTGACACCAGCTGCCTGCACCACAGCATGGTGTAGTCCAGGAGCTGGGGTGACTGGAGACAGGCGGTGCATGGTGCAGCCCAGCAGCTGCAGGCAGCTGGCGCCAGCTGCTCCTGGGGTTGCTGCAGCAGTGGCTGGGGTGAGTAGGGCCCCAGCCCCATGGCCCTTTCCCCTCCCCCCACAAAAACTTACCTGCTGGGGGGGGGAGGGGGGGTTTGCCAATCACATGAGTGAATTCACCTTACATATAATGAACTATGGGTCTACAAATGCTCATTGCATAAGAGCAAATTTGCATATACAGAACCCACATAAATTGAGGGAAACCGGTATAAGAAAGAGAACCATCCAAAAAAGATCAAAGGTTCCCATCTAACATTCCCTTATTTGGTATAGTGCAATAATATGCTAAGGGCCCAGCCATACCATCCTCACCTAGGTAAGAGCCTAGTTAATCTCACAAGGACTGTCTGGGTGAGGACTACAAGTTTCAGTTCTACGGATTTAAGTAAGAAATCCTCATATACTATGAAGCAATGTTTCATACAACATTTAAACTAGTTTTTTACTCAACAGTAGAAAATGACAAATTAGAACTGTACTTGGATCTCTATTGCAGATTTTTGAAGGGGCTATTTTAGTCTAGTACAGGGAGCTATTTCCTAAGAGCACTATTGACATTCAACAGACTTCCTGATTGATATTTCCCACAGATGTCCATCTGGGTGCATTTACAGCCCATTTCTGCTACTTATAAAAAGGCAATTGACAGTTGTCATTCCAAGTGCCTACAGCACATCAGCTAACACAATATAAAAGATATCAAATGGACTAGTTGACTTCTTTTTAGGATTTTCATATAGCAGCCCTTGAAAATCTAGACATTACCAACACTCTTCCTTTGGATACAATAGAGAAGACAGTGTCTTGTATAATGCTTTAGAACTTGTACTGCCTTATCGTAGAATTGCCTTTACATTCCTGGACTATTATAGTATCATGCTGTGTTTGCTATTTATGCTGAAAAATATACTTAGTGGGACTTTTTTGGGGTCTCTAGCCCATCAGAATTGAAGCTACCTACTCCTACTATGCTGATAACATCAACCCACAGGAATAAAATCACTGCTATACACAGCACTGCTGCCTACAAGTCACATTTCCAACTGGATAACTTTTCTATTTGTAATATTCATCTATCTCAGTATTTGATTTAAAATGTATCAATTGCCTCAAAGTAAAAATGTTATCCCTCTCCCTCCCCCCCAAATATTCAAAGAAACACAACACTGATTTGCTTTGCCCAGCAGTGTGAATGTGCAGAATATGGAGCATTTTAGGAGGCTGTCTTGATGAAAAGTGATTTCATTCTTGACACAGGCACTGAGGTAACACACAGTCTAAATCAGTCTCCAGCCTGTTTAAGACTGGTTAATACTAACAGTACAAACTTTATTTAATGCAGAAATGTTTTACCAAAAGGTAGACTGGAACTTGATCTACAATCTCTCTATAGTGTGTTCATATTGCCAGTGTTAGAAATACCCTCACTTTGTATCAAGTTAACTGCTTCCATATCTAGCCTCAAAAATGCATATTCTAGTTTAACTCTGAAGTATAACCACAAATAGACCAGTAAGTATTTCTTATCACATAGACCCAACCATATTGGGCTGAGCAATTAGTCCCAGTATACCTCAAAGTTGTAATGAACCTATTTCCATGCAACCTGGCTGGGGGATGGGAGGGGAAAAAAAAAAAAAAAAAATCAGTTATATCAGAGAAGTTAAATCATCTGAGACTATTGAGAGAATTACAACAAAGCAGTTTAGGAAAGGTTAAGGGGAAAACAAAGATGCCAGCTTTAAGCGCATGCCATGTTGGTAGCTGCAGTGCCAATGTAGAGCTTAATATGATTCTATTATGAAATGCAACTAAAATAGCATCTAGTCTTTCAATTTACCTCTATAGGTGCAGCTGAGAGAGTCTTCCCTGCTTTCTTGAGTGAAACTACTTTTTCCTCATTCTGTCTGCAATACTAGTTCTGCAGTATTCTGGGAGAAGCCTGAGTCCCACATCAGACTTGTTGACTAAGCTTTGATTGCAGGATATTTACTCATTTGGCTTTCAAATTCTAAGAGGGAGTTTACAAGGCTTCTGTTTAGAAAAAGCTGCATTTTATTTGTAAACATAGCAGGTTTTTCCTAAAAGCTACTGAAGGACAATTATAAAACTTCCCACTGCCATTTGCAGTTATTTTGAAAAATAGAACTTCACTGAAATGTTGATGTTCGCCTGAAAGAAAAATCTTTGTGCTTTTGGTACAGTGAACCAGCACAGGTTTTAACTGAAATTTAGAATCTGGGAAAATTGCCAAAAATGTGATCAAAACTTGAAGCCCTCCTTCATTATTCCTACGTCTACTAGGACAATTCCAATTACTTTAGCTTCCTGTGTATGCAGAGGAAGAGTGGTAGTTTGTAGGATTTTCTGGTACTAGAGTCTAGTTAATTAATCCTGTTTCTCATCTTACATTAAAACTCAGATTTTTTTCTTAGGAACCTGATATTAGTGGCAGTATATGGCAACATCTTTCACCTTTCTCGTATTGGTTCATTCCCTTAGACTATCCTAGAAGCTGAAATCTTCACTGTTCTTTGGTAGATAGGGAAAACATCCTCAAAACCAACTTATCTTAGTCCTCAAGGATACACACCAAGAGAAACATCCGTTTAGTTCCACCCTGACCTACTGCACATACCACATGGCAATGATATTTGTAGCATCTTTTGCCTTAACCTTCCTCAGTAGTAAACTACATTATTATCCCTTTGGCCCCAACACACACAGCCATTATAACAAGTAGTGCATGGACAATAGTCTATGGAACAAAGTTCATTGGTACACCTTTATGAAATCCTAAAGTTGCTTCTCAAAGAATATAAAGTTCAACACATTCTGTACATGTTGTTGGTTTCTTAATTATACAGTAAACATGGTAACAAATTGTTCATAAAGCATTGATTCTTTTTAAATGCAGCCCCTTCTGGTTTTGTTTGTGAAAGTCCTCTTCTAGTCAGAATACTAGTGAGATGTACTGTCAGTGTGCATACGGTACACGACAGCAGAGGAAGGAAGAAAGAGGCACTTTTTGATTGGCTGGTATTCTTTGACTTCCCTTTTTCTGTGTAGGTCTAGGTTCCTGACACTAGATGGTAGTGTTGTCACAGAAAAAACACTGCGGGTAGGCACTTGGCAGCAAGGTTCCAAGGCAGTGCCCAGCTCTCTGCTATGTCATCAGGATCGGTTTCTGCCGCACTTCCACAATATCTATAGACACAGAAGATAAGAGACATTATAGCAAATATCTAAGGGTGGCTGGTGTATAAGAGAGACATAGTTAGCAGCATTAGTCTGAAGTCAAGTAGAAGGGCAAGATAGATTTGCACCTTGTAGACCAAGCAAAGAGAGAGAGTGAGTGTGTGTGTGTGTGTGTGTGTGTGTGTGTGTGTGTGTGTACGTACGCACACACGTGTAGAGAGAGTGAGCAAGCTCGCTCATCAGAGGCTGTGAGCTTCAGCTCATGAAAACTTGTGTGCTCGTTTGCTCTCTCTACACACACATACAGACAAACTTTGGTTAGTCTATAAGGTGCAAATCTACCCTGCCTTCTCTATTGGTATATTGGAAACAGGAATATAATCCTGGATTATACCTTTAAATAAATCACAGCTTGTTTCTACACTACATCACAAGCGTGTTCAAACAAAGCTACCATTCAATGCTGTATAAAGAAATATTTATCACTTGAAACTGTGTGCTATAGATATAGTGGCAAACAAACAGTACATTCCATCCTCAATAGTGGATAACTGATCTAATACATAGTTTTTATAGCAGTATGGGATCCTTTGAAATAAAACCATTCTCTAAAGGAACCAGGAAGAGTCCCATCACTGGAAACAGAACACTAGAAAATTTACTGTTGCAAAACAAGCCTTTGCTGACAGGAAGAAATCCATCAAGGCCCACCCTTGGAAATCAACAGGAGTTAGGTGCCTGTATACTTTTGAGAATCTGGGTCAAAAGCAGTAAAGTAACCTAATTCCAGGAGAGCTGACTTATTTATGTGGCGTCCTGGGGCCAGTTTTTTTCAATATTGCCATCAGTGACCTGGAAGATGGGATGGAGTGCACCCTCAGCAAGTTTACAGATGATACCAAGATGGGTGGAGTAGTAAGTATGCTGGAGGGTAGAACTAGGATTCAGAAAGACCTAGACAAATAGAAGGATTGGATCTAAAGAAATCTCATGAGGTTCAATAGGGACAAGTGCAAAGACCTGCACTTAGGGCAAAACAATCCCATGCACTGGTGAAGACTGGGGACTGTCTGGCTAAGCAGCAGCTCTGCAGAAAAGGACCTGGGGATTAGAGTGGACAATAAGCTTAATGAGAGCCAATAGTGTACCCTTGTTGCAAAGAAAGCTAATAGTATACTGGGCTGCATTGGTGAGAGTATTGCCAGCAGATCAAGCGAAACAATTCTTCCCTTCTATTCAGCACTGGTGAGGTCACATCTGGAGTACTGTGTCCAGTGTTGGGCCCTCCACTACAGAAAGGCTGTAGACAAATGGGAGAGAGTTCAGTCGAGGGCAATGAGAATGGTTAGGGGGTTGGGGCACATGACTTATGAAGAAACACTGAGGGAACTGGGTTTATTTAGTCTGGAAAAGAAAAGACTGAGGGGAAATTTAATAGCAGCCTTCAGCTAGCTGAAGGGTGGTTCCAAAGAGGATGGAGCTAGACTATTGTCAGTGGTGGCAGATTACAAAACAAGCAGCAATGGTCTCAAATTACAACAGTGGAAGTTCACGTTAAATAGAAGGAACATCTCTCACTAGGAGGCTAGTAAAGCACTGGAACAGGTTACTCAGAGAGGTTGTAGAATTTCCATCCTTGGACATTTTTAAGATCAGACTAGACAAAGCTTTGGCTGGGATGGTCTAGTTGGGGATGGTCCTGCTTTGAGCAGGGGGTTGGACTAGATGACCTCCTGAGGTCTCTTCCAACCCTCATTTTTTATGATTCTATGAATTCATGCTCAAAGAGAACATCCTGGTTCCCTAAACTGAAAAGTAAAGGAAAGAAAAGTAATAGGATTTCTTCCTGCTGGCTGTAGTTATATACAAAATATAGTGAATTTTTTTTAATGGTCCAGCAAAACATTAATGTTGAATGTTCCTTTGACAGTTATAGGCCCCATATTGGCATCTATAAAAGGTGGACATTTTAATTAGTGTTAATCTATTTAACAGGCTTTGGAAGTTGACCTGCTTTATCAGGTGGCATAAAGAGGCTGCTGGTTGAGATAAGTATGAAATTTAAATTGACAACATTAGAGGAAGATCAAGTAACTGCACAAAGATGCAAAGATTTAAGTTTTTTTCCAAGATTCTCAATTGTTCCAATTCACTTTTCTAAGGCATTAAACCAGGTACAATATTCTCTGCTTTCTTCCACTTTTGATCACTATAGCTTTAATTTTACCTACTGGGGCTTTGTAAGAATCAACTTCTAAGACAGCAAAACAAGGTCCGTGCCTGTCAGTGAACAACATTCTGAGATTGATACAGCTAGTATGCAAAACTGCACTTTGTGGAGTGGCTAAGAGGCACTAAAGATGCATTTTCATTGGCACTCCCACCTTATGCAAAGGCCAGGAGTAAAAAACTGAAGAGAAACGATCCAAAGCAACAACTTTTATGCAGTCTATATATTGTGCTCCCTTTTCTCTGTTTACTTGAGACCTGCTGTAAACACTGATTTGTGGAACATTTTCCCATACATTAAGTCTCAGAAAGGGCATGTCAGCAAATATTTGAAGATTTAGGCATTTGTGTCACCCACTTAAAGCAAATCTTAAATACCAGCCAAAACAATACATCTATGTACTCAAAAAACACCTACAGTAAGAGATATGTCTCTTAATGCAGATCCCAGCTGTACAGTAGAAAGAGTCTCAGGAAGCTAGGTATAGAGAATTACCTTACTAAGGTAAGATATACAGAGTTATCTTACTAAGTTTATAGATGGTTACCCATTTCTCCCAAATAGTGTTCAGAATACACTCTAAATGATGCAGGACCAAGTTTTACTATAAGAATGCTATTTGAACTTGGAGTTTGTTCTGAATTAAGTCTATACCTGTATACCCAGTTAGAGCAAAATATTATTTATATCTATGTTATTGGTATCTGAAGTACCTGCTACTGCCTCAACTTCATGTTCTATAACACATTAATCCACCCCTGTTAAGTAGTTTGAGTTCCCTGGATGAAAACTGCCCTAGAGATGCCAATTATTATTAAAGTAGATATCATTGTCACAGCAGTTCTCTCCTTCCACCTCTTTCAACATCAGTTGAAGAGATTCTAATAATCAAATGTTGTCTGTCACAACTCTTCCCACATCTCTTCATACCACCTTTTAGAGAGAGTCTGATGAATATATGGGTCAGAATCTGTTCCGTGAGCCAATTCTATCGTGCTCTCCTTTTAAAGCATTTATTTTTGTGACATGCCATCCTCTTATCCTTCAAAACAAGTCACAAAAAGCAGAAGTGAATAGAAGGAACTACCCACATTTTGCTTTAATGTTTTTTCAGGGACTCTAGCAGGATAGCATATCATCATAGTTGGATGCTTAAGTACCACTTACATGGTAAAGAGGTGGAACAGGATCTGCCTTACAGGGTTTATTATGTTCCCTAAATGGCAATTTATTTGGATTACCATGAACCATTGTATCAGGTGAAAGCCCTACACTTGGATAAACAAATTTATCAGCCTACACATCCCCACTGACCTCAGTTGGATTTGAAAACACAAGAAGCCCAAGTAACAGAAACTTCCAGATCAAAACCAACTCCCTGAATTGTATTAGGAGACTATGTAAAGACTATGAAGCATGAAAAGAGCAGGGCCACTCAAGCAGGGTTAGGCCTATCAGCCAGAATCCCTAGACACATCACCAGTAAACAGTAGTTCATAGCATAAGACTGATAGACTTGGAAGAATCAGCATGGAGCTTTGATCTTTGCCCAATACTGAAAATAATCTGTTAGGTTAAAAATAGCTAGGAAGGGCTCCATGCCAAGCCTAGATCTAAAATCAGTCTGGAAAGAGCTGAAAGGCTCCATAGATTTCAACACTACCCTCTACCTACTACTCTATTCCTAATTATTCTTCCTGAAACAGGAGGGTTGGAGGCAAGTGGAACAGTCAGTGTCAAGACATGGTTTCTCAGCAAAGGTACTTAGCAATCACTTAACAAGTCCCACTAATAACATAGCTCAGAGCCTCCTGAAAGTTTCCCTGTAAAGCCCAAATGACTTGAATTCTAATGTGGCAAAAATGGAATGTCAGTAAGCAAAACTGGCCAGATATTAAGAAACAGTCTGGCTGCTGCCCAAACCACTTCGACTAATCTGCTATTATGGAGGCAACACATCCAGTAAGTGAAATAAATGGAAATCCCTCCTTTGCAAAGAAATACTTGGTCCTACATCTGAGTAGCAAAATCCTTACTTGCTATGCTGTCTGCCACCCAGAAGAGTCAGAATTTTACAAATGCTGTTCAAGAAAGATATCTCTTCATCTCCATCACTGCCTGAGCATAAAACACCTTTATGTTCATTCTGCTGGAACTATTCCAATTCCAAACACTGCTTCCAGTGCAGGGGCATTAGCTTTATACCCTCCACGTTTCTACTCTCTAACTGGCTGTACCCTATATGACACAACCTTAAAAATAACCCAGCAGAATGTGTCAAGGAGGGGGATTGTTTAGGACCAAGTAAATAAGTAGTCAAGAACAAAAGATATATGCATGGTGCTCACCTCAAGCTATAGAAATCCGATGTCATGGCTACAATCAAGTTCAACTGGCTATGCAGTGTTCAGTAGCCATATTATATGACTACTGAATATATATATGGCTTCTGATATATATCAGAAAAAAAAAAACCCAAAGCAAATAGCAATTTGATATTTTTACATTAAGCGCAACCCTGAGAAACCAGTTAAAGCATAGTTATATGTCACTGGAGTAATTTCTGTGTTTATGTGAAGACGACAAAAAGTTTCACCTGTTAAAATTCGATGCAGTGGCAAAGTGACGTAGGTTAAATGTGCATAGAGTAGAAAGTTTTCATCTGTTCTGTTTAACTTCAGCCACGAGCCAACCAGGGACCGTCCTGTTCCCGATAAGGACCGCGACCTTAGATTAGTTGCATTGTGCAGATCTGTGAAGGCACAATATAATATTCAATATGTGTTTTATACCTCTCCGTCCTTCCCTTCAGTCATCTGCTTCATCTTGAAAAGAACCTATCAGAACCATTTACAGAAAAGCGTACTGTAGTAACTCTCAGGTTATAAATGAGTATTTGAAATAGTGATTTTGGAGATTACTTTGGTTAACAAGTGCCAGTAAACACAGGGGATTGGACCTGATAGCCCAGAAGGCTTCTTCCACTCCTACATTCCTATCAGAGCTGAATTCCAAGCAAGGCAGTGTCACAGTTAGTATTACTTTTTAAGTAGGCAGCAGCTATTAGCAAGGTCTGAATGTAGGCTCTAGCTAACAGCATATATCATTACTACTCTAGCCAAAGAAGTCATTCTGCTAGGAGGGAGCAGTATTAGGTTGTTATCCTATAAATGGGCCAGCCAGTAGCCTAACTATGGATGGGTAAGAGCAGCCCAAGTCCTGGGTGCTGATTAAGGTGGGAAAAGAGGTGGCAGTTTTGGAATGGAGACTGGGGGGGTGCTAGAATGGATGCAGCTATGCTGCTAATCCAGCAGCTCCAGGCTTAGGCTTTGTGGAGTGGTGTCAGAAACTGGGCAATAAACTTCAAGGAGGCTCTTGACAACGAATTATGTTGCGGGTGAAGACAGAGGGGCACCGCTCTGCTGAATGAGGGTTTTTATTTCTTTGCTCAGCATGACATTCAGTAGTGCCTTTAGTGGGTGGCAGGGAGGTTTAACTTCTTAGGTAGATGGCATCTTCCTTCAGAGCTGCTAGGATCCTAGAGCAGGTCTGGCTCCATCTCTTGTTTCCTTCTCCTCTCTGCGCAGCTGGAGCCCATAGCTGCCAGGATGCAGTAACTTACTTGCCTCCATCTCCTGAGGCTTTGACACCAGCCGGATCCAAGTATGCCTCTGGGCACACTCCAGCTCCGACTCTGTCCAGGGCAAAGGAGATTGCTATGCCTCTGGGTCTAATCACCAAAGAGGAGCCTGGCCTGTTCCAAGAAGAGTGTGCGCCAGGTCTAGTTTCTCTTCCTGTTTGTCCTCATGTAACTTTCCTGCACAGCAACATTAACTGCTCAAGTAGAAAATTAAAGTCAGGAAAACAATATATTTTAGATGGCTTATGGGGTAGGTTAACATCTGGAAGCTAAAAGAGTCAGTGCCATGTGACAACCCAGTCCATTACAGGCTGCCACTGAACAAGTCTCAGACCAAAAAGTTTAAGGTCTCCTCCTACCTAGCACTCCTTACATAACCCCTTTAATGTTCCAGAACTGACTTAGTGGATATTAACAAAACTACAGGCAGAGGTTGGGTTAAGCACCCAAACCTTTAGGAGGAAGCAGTTAAAAAACTAAAACTGGATGAGAACAGAGGTCTGACCAAAGGCAAAGCGATGTGCTACAGTCACTGCTACAACTAGAAAGAAAGATGGGAGGAGCAGACTTCTATTACTACAGCCTCCTTAGAAGAGCCAAAACTCTATGGACATAGTGTTAAAAATGTCTTTTGACATTATATCAGCAATTTAATGAGTAACTAAGCTATTCAATCCACTTAGAGCACTTTTTCAAAGGAATAAAAGTGGTTTTGGAGTCTAACTTGTTTTCAAGACTGACTAAAGTGTATTTTAAAATTTTAACCCAAGTCTAATTGTCAAAGAGCACAGTGGTAGAGCGGCTAATGCTCCAGAGGTGTGATTTCTAGCCACCCTCTGGACTTGTGCCAAAGGCTGCCCCTATTGGCCTTGCTCTAAATGAATACCAGATCATTCAAGCAAGGGAGTCAAAGGTATCTGAAGGTGATGCTGGCCACATTGTTCCCTTGCAAATTGTTGGCTATAGAAGCTGATGCATAGTAATCATATTAGACCAACAGGCTGTTAGAATAAAGACTCTCTTTAAACTCACTGATTAAAAACAAATTAAATAAAATCTCCAGGGGTAAATATATATCGGAAGTGCCACTATGATATTTAAGCGGTAAGACTTTATTAAGATTTACTGTTTTAGGGTCCAATTCAGCAAAACGTTACTGAGTAAACACAAAAACCAGCAGTGAGTGGGGAAGGATTAGCCCCCTAAGGGTCCTACCCTGTTTTGTGTAGCTTACAGAAGGAATAGGTCAGTCACTTGAACCATATGTAGACACACTGGTCCTTCTTCTACTATATTTTGTCTCCTTGAATATGCTAAAATACATCTTTTGTGAAAAGGTGGGCTTTTTGGAAGTCAAATTAAGGAAGAGCTAGGGAGAAGTTTCTGCTGATGGAAATTTGAATAATTTAGGTGATCAGCTACTTAATTCAATTTCAGAGAATATAAATTGAATGTTTTTATTTAAAGGCTGCATTTTGATTTGAAACAGATAAGGAAATGTATTTGTATTTGCCAACATATCAATGAACATGCCTTTTTGTTAGGAAATGTGGTCTAATATACTTGATAAAGAAAGCAGTTTGACTGATACTTCTTAAAATGTTGCAATTTGGATAATACCACCTTTGCATGTGTTTATTATATCAAGACAAGCTTAATTTTGTAGGTTCTCTCTACTGAATATGTTTTCAAATATGAAAAGCAGTTTTGAATTTCTCTTCACAGCTATTTTGTGCCTTATAAAACCATAAGGTCAGCAATAATGATATTGTATTATTTTATTGTGAACGGAGCTCAATTCTAACCTTGTTGGTCTCTCAAATTGTCTAACTAGGTTTAATTTAATTGGAACTGGAGAGAGAAATGCTTTGTTTTATATAAATGTGTTAAACCATTATGTGAACCTGTGAAATTTTATTATTAGGACTATCTAGACACTTAGGAGTGAGTGATCTAAACCCCGCTGAAAACAAGGGAGCCTTTTCATTGACTTCAATCAGCTCTGGATCAAGCCTTTATTTACTGACCAGAAATTCTAAGGAGTTAGAAAAGACTTCATTGTACATTTTTGCCTTGTCACTTGAGGGAAATATTTCACTTATTCTCATCAAATTTCTCTTGGGTAGAATGACATGAATAATATTACAATCATCATGGTATAGTATGAATCAGGCTTCCAACATGGTTCCCAGGGGGCTAGGTACCCAACTACCATCACATATGAGCCTATTTGCCTTTTAATTGAGCTGAGTGATTAATGTCTCTAGAGCCCCTTTGAAAAAGCTCACATCAGATCCCTTTTCAGAGTGCATGCTAAGTCAGGCCAGCTGGTTTTGCTGATGCATTCACTCTCACCTCCACCATCATCATCTCTGAAGAATTCCTCGCTGTCATTTGCCGAATGGGATTTTTTCATTTCAGCAATTCGATTTCGGGGCACTTTTCTCTTGAGTGACGGGGAGAAAAAGGATGGGCGATTGTTGCGTTCTGGGGTTGGTGGAGTGCTGAAGGAAGTAACCTAAAAGGGAAACAGAAGCAAAGGAGTATCTGGACACTAAGTTTGATTTGCAAAGAATTAATTTAAACTGCAATGAGTAGGTAGTTTTGGGGTCCTAGTATCACAAGCATCACAAGTTGTATCACAAGCATCACAGTTCTAGTCCTAGTATCACAAGCATCACAGTTGACATTCTCAGTGGTACCCTTAGCAGAGTGGCTTAGAAGTGAATTCACCATGATGACTGAACTACTGTGTCAACCTAGAGATGTTCATCAGAGTGGCAGTACGATGAGATGATGATGTATAATGCCCTGATATCTGTATTGTGAATAAAGTTAGTGCCACTGCTATTGCTGCTGTGAATAAAGAAAGGACTTCACTCTCCTCAGCTGTCATTCAAGCACCTTCTGCATGCATCAATTCATACAGAGAAGAGATTTATAAACCTACTTGGGTAACAGTAAAAATAATCTTAAAATTCGGAAGTCAAGCAAAAGCATAAAAACCAAAAAAGGGACAGGCTATTAGTATCAGATTTGGACAAAAAATAGCATATCCACTTTTCTTCAGCAATCACAAGGTGATATTTTTCTCTGCTTTGAGAACACTAAATGCAAACTCAGAAAGGTCCCTATGCCTTTGCAAAGCTCAGTCACAAGGTAATTACTTAGACTAGAACATTGATAGGAAACTGAAGTCAGCACATCTTTATAACAACAAAGAAAGTATGTGGAAGTGACTAAGTGGTTAGGTAGTGTTGGAATGATGTTGCAGCCATGATGATCCAGGAAATGTGCGAGAGGCATAGATCTTTGTGGATAAAAATTTTTATTGAACCAACTACATGGCTGGGATAAAGTTGGACAGGCTTCTGAATGCAAGGCACTCTTCATCAGATCTCCAGGTCTAGGTGGTTAGGCTAAGATTCTTTGGTGTGGAGAAGTTCCCTATTTTTAGGACTGCTACAACCTATACTTGCTATCATATCTTAGAGATTCAGTATGTAGTTAAGCCTGCACTGTACAGATGTAGTAACCAGGCCTTGGTCATTGCTTTGAAGTGTTTTACCTGTTTGGTGTGGATGTCATAGTAAGGGAGTTTATTCCCAAAATTAATTCAGTCATTGCATGCTATACCCTAAAACAATTAACTTCCTGGTTATCTTGTTGCTGATTTTAGTATGGATTGCTTTAGGTTACTGGTTTCCAAGGAGTTGAAATGCGACCTAGACTGTAGTGATGCTACAGTGGTGTTCTGCCTTTCTTGAATCATTGCAAGCTTCATTCAGACTTCCTGGCTGTCGAAGGTCATGTCTACCCAACTCTGTGAGGTTCCGCCATGATTTCTGTCTTTTGTCTGTTGGCACAGAGACCAATTACTTGCTAACTACAATGGTCCCACTGCTGGTAAATGCCAGGTTGGAGCTCTTCCTCCACTCTCAACTGGCTGCTGCTGAAAGAGCTAAGAAGCTTTTGGGTGCAGATCAAGCTACAGTTGATCAAGCCCCATTCAAGAAAGCTTTTAGTGCCATGGCTGGGGGCTGCTGCAAGTAATATTAATGGTTTCCTTTCAAATGAAAAAATGGATAACTACTTTGCTGACTAAGGAATCCCTATCTTATCTTCCCTTTCTACATTATGAATTTAGTGTTTTTACAATTCCTCAGAGAATATGATTTTCCTCAGAGAATTGCTCACATCTCTCTGTACAATATAAAGAACTTACAATATATACCACTTAGATAACAGCAAATCTGCCAGGCTGGTGGTGCCCTGCAGAATCCCTCCATGTCATTTCTATGTAAATAATATGAACAATTCAAAAGCTTTTTCATATTCTCCTGCTAGCATATCTGATCTTTAATTTGTAGTTACACTAAAACACATTTTCTTAATCTGTAGATACTGCATATGGCAGGCACACCTGTGAAAAAACATGGTAGTGGATAATGTAGGATGAAAACCGTTACCAGTGGGATATTGCTGGAATAGCATCCTATATGACTATTGAAAGTATTAAGACAAAGGTGCCAGGAGCTACTTCAAGGCCATGCTCCCTTCAAGGCTGTAAAGTAGGAACACTGTACTATCATAGAGACACCCAAGCCTGATCTTTCATTTTGCAGTCCAGCACAACAAAGGAAACACTGTAGCAACGGTTTGCTATGCTCTTTTAGGAATTCAGAGACAGAAAGTTCTTGTCGCCTGTAGGAACCAAGCAAAGGAGTAGTATGGACAAGCTCTGAAAAAGTCTTGCCTACTCCTCCTTGACCTCAACCTGTGTTCTTCAGGAGGTTAGACAAAATGAGTCAGATGATCCTCTTCTTGTCATAGTCTAAGATCAGACCCTTTGAGACAGGAAGGGTAGAAGCCACTACTATGTATGATAAAGTAACTTGTACTAGTTTCTTCCATTGATGGTGTATTTCATCCATTAATCATCCATCTGTATGAAGAAAGTCTATCAGTAACTATCAATGCTAAAACATCACTGGCTTGTCCCTACTGGCTAAGCAAACAGCTTTACTGAAACCATGCAATAACCAAGTTAGCACCAGACCATTATCTCTTTACTTATATAAATAGTACCTCACTCCATGTGAAGTGACATTGAGCTCCGTGGAATTCTTCTTATGCCAAAAGTATATGTTTTTAGCCTCATGCTAAACCAGCAATGGCAGATTCCCTTGGAAGTGCCTTGTCTTTATGGTATGTCCTACTAGACCAGGGTGGGCAAAATGCAGCCTGCAACACCATTTTATCTGGCCTGCGGGACCCCTAAAAAATTTAGGAAATAAATATTTATCTGCCCTTGGTTCCTATCAAAAATGACAGGAACCAAAGGCAGTAGGACCCAGGGGAAGCCTGGTGGGCTCCCACAACAGCAGGACCCACCTGGCCCCGCCCCCCCAGCCTGAGACCACATGGCTGCCCCACTCCAGAACCACAGGTAAGGGGAAAGGAGAGGAATGGCAGGGGAGGAGCCCAGGGAAAAGTGACCTGGGGAAAAGCTGAGCACGGAGGGGAATGCGGCCCCTTGCCCACCCTGTGGCCGGAGACCCACACTGCGGCCTCTCACAGCCCACCTGGGGCTGCCTGTACCTGCTGCTCCAGACAGCCCTGTGCAGGCTGCAAGCAGCTGCAGCAGAGAATGCTGGCCACAGGGCAGGTGAGGAGCCACTTTTCCCTCCGCCCCACGCTCAGCTTTTCCCTGGGCTCCTTCCTGGCCCCTCGCCCACCCCATGGCTGGCACTCCCTGCTGCAGTCACTCACAACCCACGCAGGGCTGTCCTGAGCAGGCACAGGCAGCCCCAGACGGGCTGTGAGCAGCCGCAACATGGGGCCTGGGCACGGGGTGGGCGAGGGGCCACTTCCCACTCTGCACTCAGCACCAACTTCTAACCTGGCCCCACAGCCAACCTGGGCCCCACACTGGCTCTGGGCTTGCCCATCAGGGTTGAGTGTGGTGACAGCAGCTGTGGCCCCCCCACTTGCCGCGCTGGGCAGTGTTTGCCACTGACGCCTCTGGGCTGCCCAATGCGCGAGCTCTGGGCAGACAGCAGCAGCCAACACTACCCAGTGCGGCAAGCAGAGGGGGCCAACAGCTGCTGTTGAGCCAGCGTGGGGCCCAGGCTGACAGTGGGGGCAGGTTACAAGTTGGTGCTGAGCATGGGGAAAAGCAGCCCCTCACTCACCTCTTGGCTGACGCCCCACATGTGGGCTGTGAGTGGCTGCAGCAGGGAGCACCAGGCACGGGGTGGACGAGGGGCCGCTATTCCCTACGCTCAGCACCAGGTTCTTCCCTGCTGGTGAGCAGGGGGTTGGGGCTGTGCACTGCCCCTTGGCAGTACCGCAGGGCTGGGAGGCACTGGGAGTGAGTGGCAAGGAAGCTAGCGAGACCACGAGGCCTGCACCAGTGTCCCGGGGCCAGTGTTGGCAGGGCCCAGAGCAGGGCGGCAGGAGCATGGGGTGCCAGCCGGGAGAGGCTCTATGGAGCCAAGCGAGCTCCCCCCTCTCCCTGCTGGTGCAGCCCAGCCAGGCTCCACAGACCCCTGCCAGCTTAGGCCCAGCTTTGGGCCCCAACAGTGCTGGCCCTGGGACATTGGTCCCAAGATGGTGAGCAGAGGGCAGGGCTACCCATGCAGCCCTTGACAGCCTGCCAAAACTGGGTAAGCGGCCCTCTGCCCGAAATAATTGCCCGTGCCTGTACTAGACTTAGTAAGAATGTAAATAAAAATAATTTACAGTTAAGCAGCACATTTTGGTTGGGAAACCCCAACACTTGCAGAAACTGCAGCAGGATTTTTGATCTCCATGCAAAGTACCATCTCAGGTTTGACTAGCATCAGTCTGATTATTGCTGCATTGAAATATCTTTCCTGAAGCGTGGGCTGTTTGATAACCTTCCATCTATTCTATCTGGTCAAGAGCAGGGAGCAAAAAAAACCAACCTATATGCCATACATAAATTATGTCTATACACAATACACTCCAGCTAGCTCTGAATAAGCTAGCTCAGATACTGGAAGAAATATAGCTGAGTTAAGTGCATCACTAGCATGCCAAACCTCTCAACAACAGGGTTATTAGCTAGGTGGAGTGCCACAGCTATTCTGCTTCTAATACCAGGACTAGATTGGGTTCAGAACTAGATTGGGTCTATCTTCATGGTGCTGCATAGTCCTGTGAAGACATAAGCATTAAAGCAAACTTAAAAATCTAAATACGACAGCCACAGCCCTGACTTATCACTGCCTTTTGAAGCAAGGTGTCAACATTTAACCTTTGAGGAAATACTTCTGTATACTACTTACTCTCTCATGCAAAGGGGATCCTGGGTTTGAATCTTCTTCTGTTCCATATGGAGAAGTGTCACCAGTTGAAACTCGACTTACAGCCATCTCCGCATGTCCTTTACCCTGTGGCCCCTTCATTCTAACAAATTCCATATTATTATACTTATAAAAGCCGAATGACATCCTTTGAGCCATTTTAGCAGCAACGCTCACCTACAATGCACCAAAAAAGGAAAAGAAACATGTAGGGGGAACCATTAATGACTAGAGTGTAAAATTGCTAGGGAACGGTAAAACTCCTTAAATACATTTATAAATGTGTCCATAAATAGCACTACATAATAATGCCTTTACAAAGTGCTAAGGCATCGATTTTCAACTAGGGTGCTGCAGCATCCTGAGGTGTCATGAGAGTCTTTTAAGGGTGATGTAACAGTGATTAGCACTGTTACATCTACAAACACCTAAACATGATTTACAAGATAAACTCAGAGATTTCAAACAGAAATCCATAATGCCAAAAATATTCTGACCTGTTGTCATTTTTTTCTGAGTTCTTTGCAACAACAGGAATTGCTCTATTTTTCCACAGTCAAGAAGTGAGCTAAACCTAAGAGCTGGTATTTTCCAAGGGCTGTTGCCTTGAGTCTAAAAGTTTTAAAACCACTGCACAAAATGTACACATCTGTACATTTTCAGGTACATATAATTGTGCAAGTCAGAGTTTGTGTACATTTTGAGTGTGGGCACGTATACATTGGGAGCCCTTTCAAGAGGGGAAAATGTCCAGAGGACAAGCATTGTTATATTATAATTTTTATTTGTGAACAAGATGAGAATGATATAAACATAGGAAAACATTGCTAACTTTAACACAGCTTCATATGGAGTTGTAATCAAGGGTACCGGCTGCTACCCTTTTGAAATGTCCCCATTTGAAAAGACTCCAAATGTTCAGGTATCCCCACCCTTTGAAAACACTGGTCTTAGATAAAAAACACAAAACGATAGATTTATGAAGAATGCTTAACTCTTATATAGCTCTCAAATAGATTCATAAATAGCTGTAGACACCATCTATTAGGTATCTAAGTGTTCCTTCGACTTCTAAATGCAATCCTCCTATTATACCCTGCATGAATACCTGAAAAGCTATGGATGCAAGAGGTGGGAGACATTGCTAATTCCTTTCCCTTTATTTTTAATTAAGTATTTATACTACTGCTATCTTGCTGAGTTCAGCTGAAGTTGGCCGAGATGGAAGCTCATTATTGGACTACGAAAGACTTAATAGCAGCATTGCTTACACTAAAAACCAAACAAAACAAAAGAAAAAAACCCCACAGCCTCCCACCTCTCAAATACAGATTTAAAGGCTAAGTAAGAATTTCCACGTTTGTAGCAAAATCAAAGAATAGCAAATAATGAAGAATCTTCAAGAGCAAATTGGATGCTTATCTTGCTGGGATCCTATGACCCCAGCTGACTTCCTGCCCTTCGGGTGGGAAGCTGGACTCGATCTTCCAAGGTCCCTTCCAGCCCCAATGTCTATGAAATCTATGAAAGCTATGAAATCACCTGAGCAATGAACAGTTTTTAAGGCAATTTGAGCAGTGGACAAATAAGAGTAGAACTGAATAGAGTGCCAGGATGCATTTCAAGTCAGAGATCCACATTTCAGAACATCTCTGGACCCCTTTTTATAATATTGTATCCCCACTACTTAAGCTAGCTGATCATATTAAGTCTATAGATATGCTTCAATATTAATAGTAATTAATGGGGGTGGGAGGCAGAACATCTTCAGGGTCTCCTGAAACCACTGGTAAGAATGCAAAAGCTAGATATTTTGGAGATGGATACCTTCCATGGGTGTAAGAGGCAGAGAAAAACTAAAGAGTCAAAATAGAAGAATCACAGTCCTCTTTTTCTAACTATTGACCTAATACAGCTTTACTGTATTCTGAAAAAGACTTTTGGGTCTAAGAATCAGGATTTGTCTCAGTTGATACAGATATTGTACTCTGCAATTTAATTTCTAACAGCCCATCAAATGTGTGAGCTTACAGTGAAGGAAAGCAAGTCTCTCTAGATCAATCTTTTCCTATTTTTCAGAGCTGGTTTTAGTACTGAACAGTCTGGGAGATTTTACTGTTGTTTCTCAGACTTCCTCTCTGGAATTCTAAGAAGTAGATGTGAATTCTAAAGCTATGACTGTTGGCATTTCACATTTCCATAGTAAATTACTCTTTCTGTGACAGCAAAGCTGCAGAAGCTCTTTGAAAACACATGGATATAAACGTGTCTGGAGAAAAAAGATCAGAAAAGTAATAGGACGTAACCACTGAGGTTAGAACTTTCAGGTGGAACACATCTACTAAGGTTCCCCAGTTCCTCTGTAGCTAGCTAAAGATATCCAGGACCACTCTGAATGGAAGGGGATCACAGAAAAGGGAAGAGTAGTTATAGAAATGCAGGTTTCTTCGAAGTCATTCAGGTTCAACTGGAACTTCGGCATTCATACCTACTTTAAACTTCAGGAAAACATCAACAGTTACAAAACTGCTGTCCCCAGGTGTGTTGCTCTGCATGGGCTGCCTCCTAAACCAGAAGTAGTATATCTGCCTCTACTGGCTCTTAGGAGTGAGCTAATTTGCACCGCTGAAAGACAGTGGCAATTAACTAAGTTAAGCTACTTAGCCTGCCCAGGCAGATGTGGCTACATCAGTGGTGCTCAACCCTTAGGCTTTGCAGGCCAGATGAGCGCCACAGGACCGATCTGCAGGTCAGATTGGGCCCTGCATGCCAGGATTGAGCTTCAGGGCCTCCACGTTCCAGGATCAGGTCCCATGTGCCAGGATGGGGCTCTGGGTCCCTGTGCCAGCCCTTTGTGCCACATGACATCCTTTTAGCCATTTTAGCAGTAACACTCACCTACAATGCACCAAAAAGGGGAAAGAAACAGGTAGGAAAAACCATTAGAGTACAAATCTGTCCCTGCACACTGGGATTGAACCCCATACCACTCCCACATGCAAGGCTACACTATCCAGCCCACAGGGCTCCCCAAGAGTTTGGAAATTTGGCAGCAATGGACTGGTGTCACCACTCCCCAGCTACAAAATTTTTGGACCGGCAAGGAGCCCTGTAGGCTGGATGACATGACACCAGGCGCTGGATCTGGCCCATGGGCAGGAGTTGAGCACCCTTGGGCTACACTGCTTTCAGTTTAGAAGACAGCCTTCCTAGGGCAACATCAAGTGCTTGGGGGTGCTGCTGCCAGAGACTGAGTTTACCATAGAGACAAAGCCCAAGTAATCTGATGGCTTCAGCTTGCCATTGCTCTGTCAACTGATAGCAGTGGATTTTGTACTGCCCCCTTTAGTAACTTCCAAAGCCAACCAAAAATAAATGGGCATCCACATAAGCAGCTGTTGTAGTGGCTGCAGCTGGAGATAAGTAAATGCAAATTTAGAAATATCATGGGACAATTCACCACCACAGCTGCTACAGAAGATGTTCTTAATAGAGGAAGCATCTTACCCTATTATCATAGACCTTCTTAAGTGCTTCATAGCGGATGGATCCTTGAAAGATCACTCCTTGAAAGGTGTTGTTTTTGTCACTGGCTACCAGCTCCACGCAGACCATTTCTCCTTCCCCGACAGTCATGTCACTGAACACCTGAGAAGACACCCAAAAAAATCAAACACATAAAGAGGAGATCTGCAGTGGTTAGATGCCTCAGACAGAGCTAAAGCATATTTGGGTCTCCAGGCTTTGCTTCAGTCTATTAGAAAAACAGTGAATTGAGATTGTGGATTGAGATTGAGATCTGGATTTAAACAATCAGAGTTTGAGGTGCTAAGGTCATAGTTAAAGGGAAAGAAAAAAATGAAACCAAGAAAGCAAGAAGGATTTGTCTGGATGTCACAGTCCTGGTAGCGTATGAAGAGTAATTAAAGAAAACTGTCAGCAGGGCAGTGGGAATTTATCAAGACAGATGAATAACAGGTAAGTGAGATACAAAGACAAAAATTAGGAAAAAGATTCTACACTTTAATGATGGACCCACCTCTTCAAAATTGTCGATCATGAAGAATATATTGGGGTAGCTGATCTTTGATTCCTCTCCTTTGCTGTCCATTGGGTGTTTGCTGGGAGATGCAAACACTTGCTGCAAGAGATTTTGTACAATTATATGCCTTATCTGTTTAAATGTATGTGGAAATATGGATACTGGAAACAAAACAAAAACACCAACCAGCACTGCACAACAATTGTGTCAGCAGGTCATTTGCAGATACCAAGGCAGATTCTAGACTTTATGTATTAACTTTTAGTTATTATTTGTTCCACAGGACATTGAGTTCAACATCACTTGCTGAGAAAATATATTCCTCTCTAGGATCTCTGCTGTTCCTTCTCTCTTTCTCTTTCATTCCCTCTTCTCTCTCCCCCTCTCTAACCTTGGTGCCTCTGTCCTCCTTCCTTCCTATCTGCACCTCCTTTTCTGCAGCAATTACCAATTCCCACACCATTTCTCATGTCATCCTCTAAAATGCCCAACAAAATCATTAATGCATCTTCAATGGGCTTTAGTCATTACTGTAATAAGGATTAATGGGCACAAAGGTGGAAGACAGCTCAAGCATTACTTTCAACTCTGTTTATACTTGGAATGTTATCTTCACAACCATGAGAGCAAAAATCTTCATGCACTATAGATATCTGTAATATACTTCTGTTCAAAACTACTACTCCAAATTGTTTAGCATGGAATGAGGCCATGGGTGAGAGACTTTCTTGATTATAGGTTTGATCTGGCATAGCAATCTTGTGCACGCACACATATATGCACACAGTATTCAGAAAAAATACAAAACCTGTATTACACTGACAACTGTTATTATAAATAAGTTGCATTATAGAGTTCCTAATAGAAGAACTAACAAAGCAGAGCAACAGTAATGACTGAGACACAGCAGTCTTCCAGGTCATAATCCTAGTCCTGCACCAGGAATTTTATAACAGCATTATCAAGAGGAAAAATGATTTTGTTTTAGTGTGATGTTATGATGAATGGCACTACCAGGGAAAAGCGGAAGAGGAAGACTGAAGATGAGATGGAGAGAGATAGTGGAGAGGTACATGAGAGAGGAGTTGGAATAGGAAGATACGTATGACCGAAGCCAGGGAAGAGCCAGGATCTGCAACAGCAACCCCATTTAGGTGGGACAAGTGAGGGAAGAAGAATAAATTATGATGAAAACATGGAGTTTGTAGAAAGTGTTAACGGTCTAGTCAGGCAGAGACTCATGGAGTTTGCAAAATGATACAGGACCAGGTTTAGTAATATTTTACTTTAGTTTTATATGGCCAGTACTCTGCTGATCTTGATGAAATTACTCCTGATAACAAAGTAATGAATAAAGCTCATAAACAATGTGACCTTTAAAAGAAAAAACAGTTTCTCTAGATTAGGAAGTTTGAAATTCGCATCTAAGAGCCATTCTATATAATTGGCTGAGAAAGACAACTCTATGCAACATATTAGGGGTTGGGTTTTTCCTGTTCACCTCTCTGCATCAGTCAAAGTCTACCTAATTAGTACTTTGAGAAGCTGTAAGGTCATCTGAATTGTGAAAGCTTTGAACCTTCAGTCAGAGGGTAATCCTGAAAAAGCTAAGAATATATACACACATTGGTTGTTTCTGGCACATGCAGATGCATTTATGCTATAGTACAAACTGTTCTTGAGAAGTAAACGTAGTAGAACTAAGAGCATTCTTGTAGGGCTTTCATTACTGCAGTTACTTTCTTATCCTGCATTTTATTTTAGGTTTTCCCAGGTTCTCAAATTTGGCCTTCAAGAGTGATATTGTTAGTTATTGGCTATTATTTTTTGCCTTCACAAGCTCACTGTTCTTTGCCTTCTTGCTTCTAAAGTCATTTTCAGTGTGGAATTTTATTTCCTTCCCAAAAATAAGCCAAGCCTCCCTTCTATTGAGAGACTATGCGTGCATACATACACAAACAGAAAATAAACTGTATTATACTGACAACCATTATTATAAATAAGTTGTAATATGCATACATAAGGATAATTCATGACAAGCAGAGTTCTACAAGATTTTTACTGCTACACTGGAAAAGCAGGAACTTGCACCAAACTTGCTGCTGTTCTATGCATATTGACAAACAATATTCCTTGGCTTTTTTACAAAAGTTTTCTACAAGGAAAAGAATGTTTCTTTCTTGCCCTCCTCCATTCCAAACAATCTCTTTGCCTTATCCTAGATAAGGGAAGTTACAGTTGTGAACACTGATTTTTAGGGATCACTTATTAGTGACTACCCTGGGTACTTTTTAAAAGCAACTCTTATGCAATTTCAAGAACAGATTTTAAGGTTTGCTTTTGTTTGGGGGTTTATTTTTGTTGTGTTGTAGTATGTGAATTTATTTAAATTGAGTCTTTAGCAAGGAGGACTAGCCTTGATCCTTGTTAACTCTTTCTGCACTCCATGGCTGCATCCAGACAAGCACAGCCATGTGGTATGTGGTGCCTCAGTGCCACATGTCTGTGGTGCCACATACCACATGTTGAGTCGGTCTCTGTACTGCAAGGGAGCAGCCTGGGCAATTTTTTTTTTTTTACCCCTGGATATTCAAAGGTAAAAATAAAATGTGGGGGGAAAAAAGGTGGAGTGGCACCTTGCATGGGCAACATGTGCTGCTCAAAAGTGGAGCCTGGCCACCCCGAGTTGTGCTATGGCTGCTGGCCAGGCTCCACACAGAAGAATTGCCACTGCTGGGAGGCCTCCAGAACCCCAAGTAAGGCTGCTGGGCCAGCCCAGTGCTGGCCCCAGCCTCCCCCACCTAGGGTAACTTGCTGTGCACCAGAGCACACGTGCACAGGCATCCCCCAGGAACAAGTAGTTGCACAATGTATACCACCACAAATTGTTCCCAGGGAACCAAACGTCCACACCACGTGTGGACGTGGCCCATAAGTTCTCAAACTAATCCACTTAGAGAGCCTCCCACCCACAATGTATACCTTCACAGCCATGTATCATAGTTGGATACATAAAAAAACAAAAAGCACTGAAAGCCCAGAGGTAAATATTTCCAGAAGAGGGTAGACAATTACTTACTTTCTTGCCATTTTATATCTGTACTGCTTATTTCCAGGCTCTGTAAAGAGTTGATCTTTTAGTAAGATCAAGTCTCTCTTCCTGACCTGCAGCCCCCAATATAATTATCTTTCCTGGATGCTACGTGGTTCAGCCCACTTCTGGGTTTCCTATCTTTACAATTTTGAGATGCCCTTCAGATGTGATAACAGTTCCTTCACCAAAAGAACACCCGGCTAATAAGCAAAGGAAGGAAAGTAGCTCTGCAGAGTTTTGGAAGACACACTTCCTTTTCATTTTTATTTCAAGACCCCAAATAGGCTCTGGGACACAAATAGCAGGAAATGTTCCTGACTGAAAAGACAAGCTGTTTCAGAGGCAAAACATTTGTTACAGGCCACAACTGGAGAACCACCATCATGAGTGTATACACTTTTTCTGAACAAGGGAATTTTGGATGCCAAGTTCTTGTCCTTGAGATTTGTAAATGTGCCTCACCTGAGATTTCTTTTTGTGAATATGAATATCCCCTCCATCTGAGCGAGTGCACACAGCACAGGTTACTATGTAATCCAACTGAAACAGAAAGCAGGGTGGGTAAGTAGAGGTTTACAGCTAAATATTGAAGTGCAAAAGCAGCAAACGTACTTCATTCATGTTTTTCAGCTTTTATCTAGCATCTCAAAGAAACCGTTTCCTTTCTGCCTCAGAGCACCGAATACACTGAAACTACAGCTGGATATTCTTTTTTTTTTTCTTTTTTTCCTTTTTTTTACGAGTTAGGCCAGATCTATTTTGACAATGCCTTCAGTACCATCAAAGATCATTGCTTTGGGGATACAGACTACTATAGATATCAGTGTCCAATCCCTACCAGCATATAATTTGGATGCAATTTTACAGGTCAGCTGGAAGGATAGGTAGGCTGCAAGAAATATCCAGTTTAAGAGGGAAATAAGAGAAAACACCTCCCTGGATTTGGAAAAATGTAAAAAACTTAATGAAAGAGGGCAATGTGCTAGATGCATTGAAAACCATAAAGTCTGCCATGTGATCAGAGATAACTTGCACCAAGCATTTCCCAGCTTCAATAAATTCTCAGAGTTATAGTGAAATGATTCTCTGGGATTCTACATTAAAATGAGGGATAATTGCTCTCTGAACAGCATCTACAGAATTAATCTCTTGAGAGGGGGAGAAGATAATGAAAACAACTCCATCACCACTATTTGTGCAATAAACTAAAGGGCTCCCATTTTGAGACTGTAATAGATAAACTGTGAAAAAGATCTCAACTAATTATAACATCAGGTTCCCAAAGCTCCAATATAGCATGTACAATAACTAAAACATCTATGAGGTAATCTAAAAACCCCAAACTCTGGTAGGTTCAGTTTCTTTCAAATGAAAAATGGTTTATTAAACTTCTGCAGCAACTGGAAATTCCCAGTGCAGCACATCAGTAGAAATATAATGGTACTTCTAGCAGGATCTCAGAGCACTTTTTTCTTAATCAGTATTGCAAGTCTTAATGAAGACGCTGCTTTTCTAATAATCTTATCTACCTCAACGAAGTGGGAAATTCCTGAAGATCGCCCGCTTTCAAATTTTGTTGTAAAATACAACACTTATTATAAAATACAACAGTTGGCCCAGATTCACCAAATATGGGTGGACTTATGGTCTCAGGTGAGTACAAACAGTTTTGGACTTTCTTGAAAGTTAAATAAAATACAACAACATTTTCTGTTTAGGAACATCCATCTAGATCCAGAAAGCCAAAATGAAACAGTTTTTTCTTTTCTTTTTTTTTTCACCTTCCCAGAGTGCTCAAACACCTAAAGCTACACTGTAAACTAGAGCTAGTACTAAAACCCCTATACCAGGACTAGTCTGTGAAATGTGAGCAAGCTTCAGAGAAGTTTTTCATCACCTTCTGCAGGATGAGATTCAAGTAGACACTCTCTTCCCAATCAATGTCAGGGTCACCCAGACCAGGAAGCTTCTTGGAATCCCTACGATAAACTTCAACTTCGACCTGCTGATAGAACATTGCGTAAACATGATATACAAACAATTTATAGGCACATGCACATTATACTCTCCACCTCCACTTTGGAACATGCTGTCCTGTTTGTCTGCCAAAATCTTGGGTTAGTGAACTTTCAAGGTCACTAAGCAAAGCCACCTCATTTTGTGACTTTTTTCTGGAGTTGGTGGTAAGTGATGAATATGGAATAGGGAGGTAGAAGAGAGTGTCCTGACAATCCAAGAGATTTTAGTTTTAGATACTGGTTTCATATATTGATTGTGCAGCTAACATTCATATGCATGACTAGCGTTTTGACTAGGCATGTTTTAGCCAAACTGAAAAAAAATAAGATATTCATTCATACATGCACTATACTTTTATCTCATTCTCAATAAAGGAAATGCGGCAGTAGTCTAACATACCATGTGATATAATTATTGGTTGTTAGGCATGGTCAGAGTGGCAGGAGGAATTCTAAGTCAAAGCAAGACAGTGGTAGAGATACATTCATGCCAAAAGGACTTGAAAGGATGTTATAAGGAATCACTTCAACTACTAATGAAGAACAGTCACCCTTAGGTAACAGCTTTGTAAAGATCATAGAACAAATCTTCACCCCAGCTCCAGGGATGAAAGAAAAAAAAGCACCCACAATAGATATCACAAGTAGAACAAAATGATACAAACTGCAATTTGACCAGCCCACCTTTATCCTTATAAAAGGTGCCAATGCATCTTTACTGATGAATATAGGGCAATTTGGTTTCATTCCTCACCCTCATTGCATCCTATAGATTTGGTGTCTTCCTCAGAAGTTTCCCACCCAAGCACTCATTGGCTAGGACAGACATTCAAAAAGCCTGAGCCTGAATCGATTCAGTCTTTGCAGGTTCGTCTAACCTGGCTAGGGTAAATCAGTTTGTAACCGCTCAGACATCCCAGAAGTGCAGGCACATGTGTAAACACTTCAAGAGGGATGTGGACAACATGGAGAGGGTCCAGAGGAGGGCCATTCGCATGATCAGGGGGCAGCAGGGCAGGCCCTACGAGGACAGGCTA